AGAACTCTCACACAACAAAATTTCATAGGCTTTGCATTCACCAACTACAAACTTAGTTTGTTTAAAATGTAACTGGTTGATAAAATAAGCCAAAGAAAAGAAAATATATCTATTATATCAATGTCTTTTAACATAAAGATGTATATGACAAATCCCATCTAGAATTTGGTGCCAGAATTTCTTTTCCCCTGAAGAACATGTATAGTACACCAGAAAATAAGAGCTAAGTAATCCATCAAGTTTCCTTTGCTGCCAGAAAATTGATCTTTTCTTCTCTATATGGTTATTTTTTATATAATTTATCTTCTATTTAACTGCACATGGGCATATATTTTCTCCGCAAAATACCTCAAATCCTTTAAGATGGAATGTAATTTATGAGATAAATTGTAAATCTAAAAATAATCTCAATATGATTGCAACACGAATGTTTAATTTAGTCTTCTAATAGCAGTGCTATGAATACAGCAATTGAGTTCATCTATGGTTAAAAAAAAAATCAGCTATAGTCAATGCAAAAAAAATTCAGAATGACTGTTTTTAAAAAAATTTGACAAATACAAAGTGTTAGAACCAATTTTTACAAGTGAAGTTGTGTTTCTGCCCCCAAGATTTTAATCGGGAAATTCAAAACTATATTTCAGATAATTAGAAAATAACTTCCCTTTACACCGTGAGACCCTTTTAAAGTAATAAAATTCAAATTCCAGGGGGCACCTGGGTGGCTCAGTCAGTTAAGTGTCTGCCTTTGGCTCGGGTCTTGATCTCAGGGTCCTGGGATAGAGCCCTGCATGGGGCTCCCTGCTCAGTGGGGAGTCTGCTTCTCCCTCTCCCTCTGCCAACTCGTGCTCTCTCTCAAATAAATAAAATCTTAAAAAAATTCCAGTTTTCACAACCAAATACACAAAGAAAAATATACTTTTGTTTAAAGATTTGTTTTCTTCTTGATAAATACTATGATTATATTAAGGCATAATAATAGAGACTACTGGGGCGCCTGGGTGGCTCAGTCTGTTGAGCATCTGACTCTTGATTTCAGCTCAGGTCATGACCTTTGGGTTGTGAGATAGAGCCCTGCACTGGGCTCCTCGCTCAGCATGGAGTCTGCCTGTCCCTCTCCCTCTGTTCCTATCCCTGCTCCCCCCCGTCACTTGCGCAGTCTTTCTCAAATTAATAAATAAATAAAAATCTTAAAAAAAAAAATATAGGCTACATCTGTCGAAGGCTTGCTATGCAGTAGGCACTGCGGGTTATGTACCTTTCTCTGATCACAATTACCAGCAAGGCAGCAAGCATCCTTGCCCATTCTAGAGATGTGCAACTTGTATAAGGACATACAGCAGTAAGAGCACATGGCTAAGATACGAACACAGCACTTTCCACCTCAAATGCCAGTATTATTTCCACAACTCCAATATTTTCAGTAAAGTTTGTTTTCTATGGATACTTCTGATTTGTTTCATCGGCAAATGCATTTAAAAATGCATTTCCCTCTGTAAGTCTGAAACTACATCAAAATAAAGTTTAAAAAACGTCCTCACAACACAGCCATTACTTCAAATTAAAAAGTTTAAGAAAGAAAAAGAAATCCTCATAGAGAACTATGGTTGTCTGGGGATAATGAGTTTGATGTTCTATTTTATGGACTTGGGAAAAAAATTACTGAAGTTCTATTATTTTTACCAGATTCAAGGTCAAGTTCTACAAGCCTAGGAAATAAGCATTCATAAGAATGTTAACCTAAAACTATTAACAATAGTAAATGATACATATGACATTATAACAACTTGAACATGTACGTCTCTTTCAAGCAAGAGAAATGTGAATATGCATGTCTAAAAGCTAAAAACCCAGGAAACTTTAACTCATGACAGCATGCTAATTTGAAACAACTTTATCCACATACAAATGGTCCACAGAAATGTTTTAATTTTAAATGTTTATGTTCTTGCGGGTCCTGGGTGGCTCAGTGGGTTGAGCGTCAGGTCATCTCATGGGTTGTGGATCAAGCTCTGTGCTCGCTGGGAGTCCACTTGAAGATTCTCTCCCTCTGTCCCTCCCCCAAGTACATGCTCTCCCTCTCTCTAAAATAAATAAATAAATCTTTAAAAAAAATGTTTATGTTCTCTTAAAAATTTGATCATTCAATAATTTTATTCTATTTGCCTCAAACCTTTTCATATCACTAAATGAAGTAGTCATGGTAAAAAACATCTCAAGGGTCTTAAACCTTTAAGTTTCCAAAATTGAAATGATAAGCATTTTTTTTTTGTCCTCCCTCCAAAAAAAGGGCACTTACTTTTTCTTCCACTTTCTTTACAGTGTCACTTTCTTTCTGCTTTAGAGTTTATATCACACAAAATGAGTTTACATTCAGGAGCAGGAAAAATTCTTAAAATATAAATGCTTAGATTACAATAATATGTCCTCTTTAGTTTAAATCCTACAAACTTGGAATCCATCTGACCTGAGAATTCTACTTTTTATACTAAGAAAATAGTTTAGAAGAAAAACAATGTAAGTAAGATTTTAATGAGAATGAATGTTAGAATTCAATTTGAAGACAAAAAAAAGGCAGGGATGAGTAGAAAACAGTAATTTATTCTTTCCTTCATAAACAATTTTAAGTAATCCTTAAACTGTGTGAAAATAACACAGCACCACAATACTAGGTAACTTTACATGATGGGGTTTATAAAGATAGTGACTGGAAAATGCTTTAGATAGTGTGCTTCCTCCCAAGATATAATCAATCTATAACCCCACCAGCAACATTAAGGCAAAAGAACTAGTTTTTAAAAATTCCTGGCACACTCTTAAATGAATAAGTAAAATCTAAAAAAAAAAAGGGGGGCACCTGGGTGGCTCAGATGGTTAAGCGCCTGCCCTCAGCTCAGGTCATGATCTCCAGGTCCTGGGATCGAGCCCCATGTCGGGCTCCCAGCTCAGCGAGGACTGTGCTTCTCCCTCTCCCTCTGCCTCTACTTCTCCCCCCTGCTTGTGCTCTGTCTCTGTCTCTCTCTCTCTCAAATGAATAAATAAAATCTTTAAAAAATAAATAAATAAAAATTCCTAGCACATTATCTCTTTATTACACATCATCTACATCATAGTAAACAAATGTATGTTGAATAAGTGAATAATAAATCTCCTTCAAGGCTATCTTTGCAGGTTTGGGGAGGGGTAGATGAGTAGGTAGATTCGGAGAGTTAAGAAATTCTGTCCAAAATTGCCCTTCTAATATTTAAAAGTTGCTATGACTATTTTGGAAAAGATAATCCAATGGTATGATTGTGAATCTACAAGAAATGTGAATCTACAAGAAAATTCACTGAAAGAAAAAAAAACATCTGGTCAAAATTTCCTTAGACACAAATCACTTGAAAAATGTCCTTCCTAATGTTAATGTGACAAACCCAAATTATAATTAGATATTTAATACTCATGCTTACATACCGTATTAGCTTAGCCAATTCAAATTCAGACTTGTGTAGAGCTGTGTTTTTCTTGTGTCATTTAACTGTACACTACAGTCCCTTTTACAAAATCTACAGCATATTTAGTCTTTGATAAGAGAATTCCTTTTCAAACAGTCTTTCTGACATAATGATGTACAATACTGAATCATTCCAACACAAAACAAAAAAAATGTTTAGCACATTCTTAGTATACTTAAAATTAACCTATTAGCAAGGACACAAATATATTAGGTACAAAATATAACTGTGTACTCAGGCACTTGTTTTTATTATGGGCGGGAAATAAAAATAGAAGTGATAAGTACCAAATAAGTGGTATAAACAAGTGTCATAGAAATGTAGCATAAGGGCAGTATACTTGTACTTGAAATGATTTTAATAAGAGGCAGGTGTTGAAGTCGATCTAGGAAGTTTGGTTTCAAGAAGCAGAAAATGGGATAGGGCCTTCAGCCTGGAAAACAGTGGGGAGTCAACATAAGAAGCTTAGTATGGTAAAACATCTAAGGCAGGGAATAGTGAACTATGGTCCATGGGCCAAATCCAGCCCCCTGCTTGTTTTTGTGTAGCCTATAAACTACCATAGGTTTTCACAGTTTTAAATGATTGAAAAAAATTAAAAGAATATTTCATGACACACAAAAATTATGAAATTCACACGTAGAGTTTTATGGGTACACAGCCATACCATGTACTATGACTGCTTTCATACTATATGGCCGAGCAACAGAGACCATGTGAATCGTAAAGCCTAAAATATTTACTATCTAGCCCTTGAGAGAGAAAGTTTACCAACATCTTCCTTTAGGAAAACCTATGTGGCTGAGGCACTCTGAGTGAGGGGCTGAGAGGAGAAAGAAGCCAGAGAGGCAAGAGGGGCATGCAGACCATAGCAAGGATTTGGGTCTATATTCTAGTAACGGGGAAGTCATTAAAGAATTTTAAGTAGGAAAGTGACAAGAAGATTTGCATTTTAAAAAGGTCATTCTGGTGGTTATATCGGTAACCAGTATTAGGAGAAAAGTAAGGAGGTTAGTGTGGTAAGTAGTTTAAGCAAGATATGAACACAGTTGAGACTATAGGGCAGGCAAAGTAAAATAAGGGAGGCTGGGCAAGATTATTTCTGAGATCCCTTTCAGCTCTAAAATTTTAAGAATCACAGGGCTTTCTAAGCATTTCTGATTGGTATTTCCAATTATCACATAACAAGTCTCAAAAATGTTATACTATAAACAGCTCTCCAATAGTTAGTAAATTGGAAATATGCCAAAAGAGCATCAAGCATTTAAAAAGTCTGGGAATTACTGAAGGACAAATGATCCTCTCCATTAGAATGCTTTCTTAAAATATGGTTTATATTTTTTGCAAGTTGGAAAGGACTAGTTTTATGAAATTTATGATTAAAGATTTACTGATCATACATAATTAATTAACACAAAGGGGGAACAAACACAAACATGCTTAAGTATATTTTCACTGCATTTTCTTTCCCATAATGTAGCAATGATGAAATAAAGAACATACCTGCTACATTCTAACAATGTAACTTTAAGGCGGCCTTCAGTAAGTGCCCATTGTTGTATATGGATATGCTCTTCTTCATCTTCTTCAAATCCTTGCGAAGTTTGGAATGGAAAAAACGGCTTAAACCTGGGAAAAGTAAAGATAAGTCTAAATTTTTGGACAATAAACACCACAGTTTAAAGAGTAATAACAAAACCTACCTGTAGGAAAGCGATGTAAAACAAAAACCTAATACTGCATGAGCCCTAAAAATCCAAAGCTTATCATTCTCCCCTACAACTGGCAGCAGATGGTGTCTTCTCTCTGGCACCCAGACCTCCTGCTTTTTTTTTTTTTTTTTGCATGCCCTCATTGACAAGGCAAGACACTTAGAAAAAAGAAAAAGAAAATCTAAAGACCACCATTAGGTCCTGAAACTTGGGTGGGTCAGGACAGTGATTCTTTCTGGACCAGATGGCAAGAGTGTTTCTACAGTACAAGATCAAAATTCAGAATGCACTGTTCTGGAAACAATATAATTCATAGTAATTAAATTAGTACATGAAAATGATTAACAATAACAACAATTAATGGTGGCAAAGGTATTCATCAGAATTGTCTACTATTTGCCAGGCAGTGTGTTAAGAGCTTTCCAAGCTTTCTCTTACGTAATGCTCACAATCCTGAGAGGGTGATAGAACCAGCTTCCCTTTCCAGATGAGAATAGTCAGCCTTATAAGTTAAAGGATTTGTTCAGTGTTACATGGTGGGTGGCAAAACCAGAATTCAAGCTAGTCTGACTCCATCAAAGCCCAAACACTTCAGTTACCTATGAATAACTCAGGCCTATATGTGCTTATTCTTTAATACTCTGGTTTTCATGGAGAAGCTTGTGCTGAGTTAGGAACTATAGGCTTTAAAAACTTTAATTTGAAACACAATCCATACTCCTTCATTAAAGCAAAGGACAAGGAAAATGAAGAGAAAATTGGGCTCGGGGGCCTATAGTTTTCAATTCACCTTACACATTGTCACCAGACATGATGGCTTCAATGGCTTCTCACTAACCACACACAAAAAGAGACGGTCAAAAGTTCTTGGTTTCACATCCAAGGTCCACCACAATTAATCTTTCCACTGGCATTTTTCCTTATTAGAAACCTTCCTATATTGAAAGTGTAGTCACCTCATGTACTCTGAAGATACTATGCACATTCCTGCTTTCAGGCCTTCTGAACTAACTGGATGTTTTCCCTACTTCTCAAAGCCTAGCCAAATCCTAAACGCTTTTTGTAATCGGCTTTAGGTCCCAGATCACAGCAGAGCACATGCACTGCTTTCACTCTTCTTTATTTTGTAGTCACTTAAATTGCTGTGCATTTATGCCTTGAAATCTCAAACGTGACCTGGTCTCACACTGTTTGTACCCTTCAGGCAAATAATCAGGACTCAAGTATGTGTTGAGCTGATTTATAAAAATCCAACACTAAAAATGAAATAAACATTTAGAATATATTAATAGCCCACTACAGTTTATACCGGAAGATATTGATAGAGGGGGAGAAATACTGTTTTACAGTTTCCCAATGAACAGGATAAAAGGAAAAACTTTTTAGGGAAAGATAAGTAGGTATACAAACCATGTTCAGTGCTTTTCTCCTGCTTCTGAATTAGGGGGCAGGCAGAAAGTCCTCCTCAATTCCTTAATTTGCATTTGAAGTCATGTGATTCAAACTGGCACCAAATTTTTAGAGGGAAAAAAATGAGGAACTAAATCTATTATGTTAATATATTATTGTAGTTGAGTGCTTTTAACACACAAGTCTTATGGCTCCTGTAGAACACATCACTGTCACTCCATAAAACATTACAAAGATCACTATACTATACACAACCAACTTTGAATGTAACAATCCAGCTAAATCACAGCTGCTCTATGAATCAACTTTTCTTGTCATATATTAACTTAAAATTCAATAAAAACATTTCCCACAGGTGTGTGACTTCAATGTTCTATGGAATAAAGTCTAACTTGGTTTATTAATGCTGCTAGCAGTGTTTCCTAAAACTGTTTATGCCACAAAAGTACACTAAAATCACAAAACTGAATTCCATTTAAAAATAACACACTAAACAGCTATCTGTTCACCGAGCTAATAAATAAAATCCACACATTCACATTCCCTAAGGACACTTGGTTTTCAAAACTTTTAAGTCCAAGGCTTTAAGTATCCCAAAACCCATAAAGAAATCTAAACAATAAAGCAGGCTACCCCTTCCTTTTACCTTCCCATCCTACCACATTATCCTTCCTCAGAATTCATGAACCTTTTCTTCTGTTAACCTATCAACTTAAAAATGTCACTGTCTTCTCATTCAAGTTCCCTGAATAAGCTACTTGTACGTCGTCCTGCAGAAGCCCTAAAAAACCAACCCAGAAAGATCAACTTCTGACATGACAGCATGAAGAGCTCCACTGACCCCCTCTGCAATAAAACTGGTGGAAATTATTAAAATAAAAACAAAAACATAAAAAAAACACGTAAAGCCTCTGAAATGTCCCTAAGGGTAAACAGCAAATGAAGGAACTTCTATTCAAGAAAATCTACAAAAATTTGTTAAGAAAGGTGTGAGTCTGTGGTGCCTAAACCAAGACCGCCCCCTCCAACAAGCTCAGCAAGGAAGAGATTCCACTCTAGGCTGCTGCAGCCAAGAACACAAGCGTCTCACCTCCAGGTCACAGTCAAAGGGAGACTTCCTGAGAAGAGCAGGACAGCAGTGTTTCCCATCCAGCCTTCTGCCTCCTAGTACAGAGCCAAATTCCAGGCAGGTGTAGTCAAGAGATGGGAGCTCCCTTCCTTGACCCTGCCCCTGTTTGTGGAATGGAGATTTCATGCTGGGCACAGTGCCCTGATCGTCTTTGCTCTGGCTCCTGCTGCAATGGTTCTATGCCAAGAGAGGCAAGCCTAAAGCACCTCAGGCTGCTGCCACCCCTCCCCCACTCTTACCCAGCTTCTAGAGTGGGGGTGTCACTCACAGAGAAGCTTGCCATTGTTCCCACCCCCAGCTCCAGAACTCTGACTCAAAATTTTTGCTAAGGGGGCTGGAAAGGGTAAGGCATGCCATAAAAAAAGCTCCTGATCTCTTCCCAAAGGAACTAAGAAGCTCAAACCTAAGGGGAAGGAGATTCATGGATTTAATGAAGATATAGCCTACAACAAAGGTTGCCTAGTTTACAGGAAATAAGACAGCTGGGCGATCTCTCCTGGGGTGAGAACAAGTATCAAACAAAGACCTCAGAAATTATTCCTTCAAAGAAGCCACAATTTGACTGGGTTAGATGGTAGAACAATATATGCCCCAGAGTACTGGTGAAAACAACAGGCACAATGGGGGTAGAGGGTAGACTTCACTAAAATAAGCCAGGCAATCACTAAAAAACAAATAAATAATGAACCCTGGGAGGGGGGACCAGGGCTCAAAGTTGCTACAATATTATCTAAAATATTTAATTTCCAACAAAAATTGTGAAGCATGCAAAGAACCAGGAAAGCAGATTTCTTTCTGACCCATAAAGCAGAAAGCAGGCAACACAAACTGCCAGTGAGAATGACCAGGTATTGGATTTAACAGAAAAAGAATTCAAAACAGCCATTACAAATATGTCCACGAAAAATTTTAATAGCATGATTAAAGAGGTAAAGAGAGGTATTATGCCAATGCCACATCAAATAGAGAATATCAATGTATATTTAAAAAAAAAACAACCAAGTGGGAATTCCAGGGTTGAAAACTAACAACTGAAATAAATTCACCAAAAGGGCTTTCAACCATAAATACGAACTGGCAGAAGGAAAGAAGTAGTGAATCTGAAGACAGAGCAACAGACATTATGCAAGCCAAAGGACAAAGAGAAAAAAGAATAAAGAAAAATGAAGTAAGCCTTAGAGAATGTGGGAGATCATTAAGTACACCAACACACACATAACGGGAGCGCCAGAGGGAGGGATGGGGAGGGGAGAGGAGGAGAGAGAGGGAGTAGAAAAAATAGTGAAAGAAATAATAGAGGCAGCCAGTAAGCCCTAAAGCCACAAATTATAGGATTCCATTCATATGAAAATCCAGAATAGAGAAATCTACAGAGACAGAAAGTACATTAGTACTTAGGGTTGGGGTGGTTAGGAGGAGGATAGCTGAAGGGTAGAGGGTTTTCTTTTTTGAGGTGATAAAACTGTTCTAAGAGGGACTGTGGTGATGGTTATACATACCTGTGAATATACTAAAAATCACTGAATTGTAAGCTTTAAATAGGTGAATTTTATGGAATATGAATTATACCTGAATAAAACTGTTAAGAAAAATCCCAACCCAGTTTACCCAGAAAGAATTTCTTATTGTTGCTTTGATATGTAAATGCTTGGTTAGAATTATCTGATTAAATAAGAAACAAAACCATAAATGACAGCTCCATTAAAATAACTGATAGCCCCTTTTAAGACTTATGAAAAAGATTAAACAGTTACCATACCAGGTACTGACTAAAAGTCACTTATTTGCTCACTTAATCCTTACAACCACCCCAAAACTGGGCATTTGCAGGTCTAACTAGGTCTTAGAGGTCTCACAAATACTACACACTGAAGCCAAAACTGGAACTTATATTAGTCTGCTAGGGCTGCTGAAACAGAGTACCACAAACCGTGTGGCTTAAAAAACAGAAATTTATTTTCTCATAGTTCTAGAGTCTGAAAGTCCAAGATTAAGGTACCAGGAGGTCTGGCGTCCCGTGAAGCCTCTCTCCTTGGCTTGCAGACAGGCACGTTCTTGCTGTGTCCTCTCATGGCTTTTTCTCTCTGCACATACATTCCTGATGTTTCTTCCTCTTCTTATAAGGATACTGGTCCTACTGGATTAAGGCTCCATCCTTATGACCTCACTTAACCTTAATTACCTCATGAAAGGCCCTACCTCAAACACCGTTACGCTGGGGGTTAGGGCTTCAACATATGAATTCTGGGGGACACAATTCAGTCCACAACAAAACTCAAATGTGACTCCAGAGCCTGATCTGACTGCTACCCAGTTTTCTGCAGGAATAATGCACTAAACCTGGCCTGAAGGTACCCAGCAAGGACACTCATGGTTTCACACATATTATTGTTCTTGATCCATAAAATAACATGGTGAAGCACAGTTG